GACCACCGGAGCAAATCGAAAAAGACAGTGGACAAGAACAGCAATGAGTACCGGGTGCGCCGGGAGCGCAACAACATCGCGGTGCGCAAGAGCCGGGACAAGGCCAAGCAGCGCAACGTGGAGACGCAGCAGAAGGTGCTGGAGCTCACCACCGACAACGAGCGGCTGCGCAAGCGGGTGGAGCAGCTCACCCGCGAGCTGGAGACTCTGCGGGGCATCTTCAGGCAGCTGCCCGAGAGCTCGCTGGTGAAGGCCATGGGCAGCTGCGCTTAGGGCCGCGCCGGGACCGGCCGGGCTGCCCTGCCCGCCCACAGATACTTTACGTACCGGAGCGCGGCGAGCGCACTGTGCCGGGGGAAAGGGGGATGGGGGCTGTTTTGTTTTTGTTTTGTTTCGTTTGTTTGGGTTTTTTTTTTATCAGTTCACGACCTATACAAGAAGCCAGGCAGCTCTAGTATTACAAGGTTTGTGCCTTACGGATGACACACGAGTAACCTGAAAACATGGTGGGTTTTCTAAGGAGAAGAGCAAGGGGAAGGAAGAATTAAAAAGCCCACGTGTCTACACAGGGTAAATAACAGTAATAATAATAATAATAATAATAATAGTAATAAAGCACATATAGCAACCCAGATGTGCCTTAAAAGCTAGCTGCAGGAGCTCTGGGGCTTTCTGCACCCTCTAGCCTGGCAGGGCATGAGGAAAAAGGGTGAGGGACGTGCAGGCTTGAGGGTCGGGGTGTCTGGGGTGTCCTGCCAGGCCCTCCCAGCTGGCCTGCGGTTCAGCAGGCAGGAGCAGCTGTGGGGATACCAGCGACAAGAGGACTCGAGGCTGAGGGACATGCAGCACTGGACACCCGTTTGGAGCACTGAGGTGTGGGGCAGCCGCTAGACTGCTGCCAGGACTGCCCCAGCCTGGCTGGGCTGCCTCTGCCAAGCCCTGTCCCCTGCCTTGGCTGGGAGAAGGGCAAGGGGCCACCACTGCTGCGGGACCAATGGACAGCCGGGGACTGATGGAGCAGCAGCTTGCACGAGTGTGTGATGAGCTCCCTCCATCAAAAGAAAGAGCAGCAGTGTACTGTATGTCACGACGTGGCGAAGCACAAATGAATAAATACCTATCGATGCGGGTATTTACTATGAACTTTCAGTGTATTTTGCTTTATTCCAGGACATTTAGCTCCTGTCCAAGTCTCTGTCCGTCCAAGCTGTGCCTCATGTAATGTGAAAGCCTTTCCGTGTATACTAGCTACACTTTATTTTTATTGCATTACTTGGATCTTTGCCATCACACAACTTTATCTGGTGACAGAGACTATGCCCTCGTGCTGCAATGTTATTTTATTATTTGTGTGGGTGGGTGAGTGTGAGTGTGTGTTGCCTTCTTCACATTGTCCTGTACTGGCTGCTCCTTCCTAACCCCAAGGCAAAGGTGCCTGGAAGGGGTCACGGGCTGTGGGGCTGCAGGGCGCCTGCGGCGGGGCAAGGAGGCTTGTCCCTGGTGCTGCAGCACCTTTGGACTCTGGAGCTTCTCCCAGGGTGAGAGAAAAATAAACAAACAAACAGGCTCCCTTCCAGGGTGTGCTGGTAGCCATGCAGAGCGTTTCTTCCTCGTGTTGTAGCTGCACAACAATTTGTCCAACTGAAGTAAGTCATGACGAGAGAATAAGGTGGATGAAGCTGTTTGAAAGCATGACAGAGCACAGTGCTGGCGGTGTGTGTATGTGTGTGCAGTGTGTGTGTGTATGGTATCTATACGTCTATGTATATGCACACACATTGGTGTTTGTTTTTTTTTTTAATTTGGGGGGGAACCGCATATAAAGTCAGAAGTCCTGGTTACGTTCATAAATAAACAGCATATATTCTACCATAACCATCCGTCTCTCTGCGTGTTTCCAGCCCTTTTTCTGTAGGAGGAAAAGCGAGAAGCTCCCCTCTTCCTCCAGACCAGCATCCCGCTCGCGGAGCGCAGCTCCCCGATTTTCGCCCCAGAGAAATAAATACGCGGTTGCCTCTAAAGAGAGCGGCAATTTCCTAAACACTTGCGGTGTCAGATGTGTGCCCGTGAGTCACCCCTGGCTTCACCCTTCACCCGCGCCGGGGGCTGCGGGCGGGCGGGGGGACGCGGGGCGAGGCGGGACCGAGGGACTCCGGCGCGAGACAAACGGAGCCGCCGAACAATCGCGACATGGCGGCGGGACGAGGCGAAGGCACGGGCGCCGAGTGAGAGGCGGCGGCAGGGCAGGGCAGGTCCCGCTGCCTACGGCCGTGCCGTCCCGTCCCAGGCCATGCCCGGCCCGGGCCCTCGCCGCGCCCCCGGCGGAGATTCGCCCCGGCCGGCCGGGCCCGCTCGGTGCGGCGGGCAGGGCGCGGTGCCCCGCCGGCTGCCGGGCGACGGCGGGGCCGGCGGGGGAAGGAGGTGCGGACCCGGCCGTGGGGGGCGGGAGGGGGCGGCGGCGATGGGGGAGGAGGCTCCCTACCGGGAGCCCGTCCGTCCGTGACGTCCCTGCCCCGCACGGTCCCGGCGTGTCGGCCGCGGTGCCCTGTGAGGGGGTCAGCGGGGACCAACCCGGGCCGCCGTCCCGCCCTCCTCCAACCCGCGGGGCTCCGTGCCCGGGCGGCCGGGCTGGGCTGCGTGCCAGGGAAAGCTGCCCCGGAGGCCCTTCCCCTTCAGCAGCGCCCGTGTCGGCCTTTGTCCTGGAGGGGGATCCACCCGGAGCGGCCGAGCTCCGCTCAGCTCGCTGCCCCCGTGGTGTGCCCATGGTCCCCGCGCCGTCTGTGTCCAGCACGGCAAAAATTAAACACCCCGGAAAAGGGAGATTTGGACCCACAAGCGTGTGTCCCGGTGATGCGCAGGCCGTGAGACGGGACGTGTCCCAGTCCCTGGTGCGGGGGCAGCCCCCGAGCCCCGCTCGGCCCCGGGCTGGACGGGACTGCTCCGGGGGCTTTGCCTCCTTCCCGCGGGGCTCATGGTGGGCTGCGGAGGGGAAGAAAGGTCAAGCTGCTCCTCCTCCGAAATCCCCCGTGAAAGCCAGTCTGCAAGCACGCGCTGCTCGAGATGGGTGAAAGATAAATGCAGATCAGGATCAAGGATTTCACTTTTCAGTTCGATGTAAATCGGGGGGTCCAGAGCTGCTGGTTTTCCGAGGAGAGGGTTAAGTTCTAGTGGTGTTGGGCAAAATTAATGACTTTTAACTCGAGCGTGCTTCCTCCCCCAGCCCTGCAGAGCTGTACACCCGTTGGGTAGGATGTGCCTTACTCAGTAATGCTGTCCAACGTGTAGAGTGGGGAAATGCTGTTATCGTTTGAGCAAAGATTATTGCAGGGTATATGTGGGAGGGACTGTAATCTAGTGGTTAGAGCATGGGAATACAGTCCTGGTCGTTTGAGTTATGTTCTGAACTGTGACTCACCGTGTGTGTGTGGTTTCAGCAAATCATTTATGACCCCAGACAAAGCAGATTTTTCCATTAATTTAAATGAACTGTAGATTAAACTAGTCTTCATTGGCAGAAGAATCAGCCATTCTATGATTCAAAATTAAGATCACCTATCTACCACCACATAGGTGTTTCAATAGTTATATAAACACAGAATGTCTTGGAATAGAACAAAGGATAAATTATTGATAGCAGGAAAGTGTTTAGAGACACTTGCCTTAAACACAGTGCCAAAGTGAGCAGGGTTCTCTAATCCTAACCCTAACTGTAGGCTGAGCCTTCGACAAGGCCCTCACTCATGGCTTAGACAAAACAGTTCTCACAGCACAGGGCGTTTTGCAGTCTCTTGGTGCTCTTTGCAGCCTGCTTTTTGCTTTGGTACCCCCCTCCCAGCCCTCCCCAGCTGCATATCTGCACTTTCTCTTCCTGTCAAACTTAACCCTTACCCTGGCATAGGGCTGAGCCTTCGAAAAGTCCCTAAGTCATTGCCCAGAAGAAGAAGGTTCTCACAGTGGCCCGTCCAGGGGTGTTTGCTGTAGCAGCAGCTCAGAGCCAGCAGTGCTGCAGCGCTCCAGCCTCACGTGTGACCCCGTTTCAGCAATGCATTATACACACTGTGTGGTGGAAAGGATTTTATGCACTGTCTACTCCAAGCGCCCCAGAACAGCTGGAGCTGGAAGGGACCTCTGGGGACTGTCTGTGCCAGCACACTCCTGTGAGAACAGTTGCCAGTCCGAGTGGCCAGCGGCGGCTGCGCTGTGGGCACACGTGTGGCAGGACTGTGGGCAGGGACAGCTCTCACGTGTGACATTCCCACTCATCTCCCTGCACACATGCACCCTGCACCAAGATAGCCTGGCACAGGCAAGGCCTGAGCAGCCCAGCTCTGGGAGGGTGCTGTGGGTGTATGTACTCAGTGACATTTGTCTGCTCGACTGCTGGGTGCCTGTTTGGTTTTCCCGCTGAGTCTGTTCCTTTTCCACGCAGCACTGCTGCAATGCTGGCAGCCTCTGCCCATCCTGCCGCCCCAGTGGGGCTGTGCAGTCCTTCCTCCTCCACCCCTGACCCTCGCCAGTCCCAGAGATGGGGCTGGGGACACGGAGGGGTGAGGTGTGGGAGTGGGCAGTGACTGAGAGGCTGAGCGAGTAATGCCACGTTTGGGAGGGAGGGAGTAGTTGTCTGCCAGCACTGTGTACAGAGTTGAGAGATTGCTCACGACCATAGCAAAGTCCTGCAGCAGGTTGGGGGTGGTGGGGGAATGTCAAGATTTCTCAGTCTTTCATTTTTCTCTGCTGCAACTGATGAAATTGCCCCTGAGGAGCTTTCCTCATCCACCTGCTTCAGGAGGCTGGAGGGCAGGAATGAATTTCCACACTGAAGAAGGACAGTGAGAGATGCTTTGCTGTGAGGAGAAAGCAGGTGCTTTGCGCTTGGTGGTTTGGATTTAGTGGGTGAATTGGGTTTGATCCAATTCAATAGTGAAAAGCATGGCAAATGTCTGAGTAAAGGGTGGAGAAACAGGCCCACTGCCCTCTCTTGGCATAATAGATTAAGTTAAAAGTAATGTTAAATACATTGACATCTCTGGTTTTAGGTGTATCTTTCTTCCCCTGTAAAGAAATCCGTTTTTATACACATGAAATCACATAAAAAGACCACAAAAATATCAGTGTTTTGGTGTAGTTTGCTGCATCATACCAGGGGTAACTGGATTTTAAAGCCAAGAAAACATTTAGTAATAACAAGCATATCACAAGAAACTTCAGAAGAACCAGAAAGTCTGTTCAGATATTTCCTTCAAGTCCATATTATGTTATTATTTTTTTTATGGTACTACTTAGTATCTCAAACTTAGGCTGTGGATCCAAAGAGAGAAAATCAGACTTTATCCCAAAGAGTTTACAGCTTTGGTGGAAAATCAGCATTTGCTCAGCTGATGGAGCACCTGTATATCCAGAGTAATCCAGCCTGTGTGGGTAGACTGAAACAAAAATCAACTGTTTGGAACAGAGATTTTTTTATTTATCAACCATTACCAGGTTGCTCCTCAGGTTTACCCCTGGCAGGGTAAAGGCAATATGTTTACACTGCCTTGTCTGCCAAGAACTTTGCTAGAGACTTCCACAAACTCCCTCTCCATGCAAAAGCAATGGGCTGATGTCTCCAGGACTGTGTGGGTATACCTCTTTAATTGGAAGGGAATCCTCATAAATGGAATCTGATTCATTTACTCTCAGTATTTAAGTGCAATTTTCTTAGTTTAACACCATCCTATTTTACTGCAGTATTGCATCTTGCCTCTGAAATTAATAGTTAACCACGGAGAAAGACAGGTCTGGCAGAATGGAAATCAGGCATTATATTATCCCATGAGTCACATACATGCACAGAACCAAACAAGTGTCAGCCAATGGCTTTGAGCCCAAAATATGTCAAAGAGGAGATGAGTATCTTCATTTATATTAAGTAGATAGAAGGCTTGTTGCCATTCCCATTAAAAAGGTTGGAGTTCTGCCATGGACTTCAGTGGGAACAGGATTGGGCCCAGGCAGTGGAGGCTGGCTCTGGTTACCTGCACTGACTGTATCTTCTATGCAGCAGGCAACTTATATTTCAACAACAGTTCCTAGTCAACAGAGAGATTCAAAATCTCCCCTAGTTTTAGGCATTACTCTTTCCTTTATTAGTTTGATGACCTTACTCCTTC